ACATAGCAGCGCATATCACATGCAAGGGTCACGCAGACTCCTAACATCCTAACATAAATAAAAAGGGCCGACATTGGTGCCTTAGACCCGCTAAACCCAGTGAGGAAACTCACCTCGACTGCTGAATCACACGACTGAATCTCTGGTTTTTGTCCGACGAACCCCTGAGCTATTAATACCAAATAAAATCCAATTAACAACTAGATTTCAATCTATAACCATCAATCCATACTTAGGGTAAAAAGACCATTTTATCCCTTACCTAGTTTGGTCCAAGACTAAGGCCCAAACTCACAATCTAAAAGGCCCAAAAATCAACTAACCATCCAAGGCCCAAACATGGCCCAATTTTCCAAATTGGACCTAAACCCTTACATGGGCCTTAACCTAAGGCCCACCAATTTTCCTAGTCCAAACACTTGCATTCAGGTGGCCTAACAGAACCCCAAGAACCTAAGCCCAATAGAATGGCCCAAACTCGAAGCCCAAAATGAAAAGCCCATCAGACTGAGTACGCGGGGCGTATTCAACTATATGCTAAGCGTACATGCTTTAGGGCTTGTACGCTGCGCGTGCTGGCTTGTACGCCCAACGTACTCCTCCTATTCATCTACATTTCACATTCAACCCTTAATCCCTTAATACATTGCTCCAAAACGTAGATCTAACTTCCTTGAGCTAGATTATCACGTAAAGTTGCTAACTTTACGTTCATGCATGGCTAAATGAAGCTCTTAAAGCTCAATAGGACTTCATACATGCATGTGACCAGAAATCCCATCAAGCTTGCACCTTTATGCCTAAGGAGTCCATAATAAGTTCAGATCTAAAATAATAAGTCCTTAAAACAACCCAACTCCTCAAACCAACCCAAAAAGGGACCAAAAGCATAAAAACTGAGAAATGAAGAGATCTAATCATGGAGATGACAAGGTTTGAACTTGATACCTCAATAAGCTTGCAACAAGGGTGATAATTCTGGATCTATAACCTTTACACCAAGCAAAGCACCTTCAATCTTCTATACATCCTTCACAAGGAGAAAAAACCACCAAATACTTCTTAAGGACACAAAAAGCCCAACAATGGAGGCTGAGGGACGATTTCTAGGGTTTTGGAGGCTTAGAGACTGGTAAAGAGGCCAGCCCTAAAGACTTAAGGTGCTTATATAGGGTGCATCACCCTAAATTAGGGTTTCATTAATTCTCACATATGCCTCGCGTACATAAGTGTACGCCCCGTGTACATATCCGGAGTCTCGATCAAGCCTCACATCAGTACGTTAAGTGTACCATGTGGTACGCCCTGCGTACTGGCTTTTCAGCTACTACGTTAAGCGTACCATGTGGTATGCCCCGCGTACTACCCAAAGACCAATAGTGTAACTTTTGAAATAACAAAGGGGCAATAATGAAACATACCAAGATTCAAGTGTTACATAAACTTTCTTCCAATATGTGTTTTGTTCTTGGCTAACATCTTGTTTTGAAGTTCTCTTTCTTTTTTTAATCTTCCCACCTCTTCCTGTCGAAATTTGTTCCTCTTTTGATTCCTTGATCTTACCTCCCTTCCCCCATATATTTTTAATATTTATGACCTTGTTATATATTTCTTCCTCATTCATAGGTTCTGGAGCAGTTTCGAAATCCTGTTTTCCATTGAACACCATCGTCTAACTTCTAAATGGATGTTTATATTGTAGATAATGAATGTGATCAGCATAACACTACTTATTAGAATCAGGAATCCTAATATAGTCTGTTTCTTACCCACATAATGCACAAGCTTTGTATATGCTATAAGGACATCCACTTAATGTACCAAGGGCAAGGTAATCATTAATTGTCGATAACACAACTGCACGCAAACTAAAATTTTGTTGTTTATATGAATCAAAATTTTCCACTCCAACATCGAATAATAACTTTATATCATCAATCAAAGGTGCTAAGAAAAAATCAATATCGTTTCCTGGCGTTCCCGATATCAGTAAATAAAGCATGACAAACTTTCTTTTCGTACACAGCCATGACGGGAGGTTGTAAATGACACTTAAAACAGGCCATACATTGTATCTTTGTATACCCTGAACCCATTTCTTTCAATGCTTTCTTAGCCTCATATGCACTACTACACATTTCATTATTGTCAGGTAGAATCTTTTTAATCAAAACCATGAATTTAGTAAAGCACTTATCTGAAACACTATACTTGTTCTTCACGTTGAGGAGTTGAACAGTTGCAGACAACTTTGTGAAGTCTGCACATCCCTTGTAAATGGGCTTTTCATTGTCTTCTAATAGTTTCTTAAATTTTTCAGGATTGTCTAGGAAATTTTGTTATGTGGCTTCAACCATCTCTATTGTTTCTAGGGAATCTGTCGGAATTCCTTCTGCGAAATCTCTAGAATCAAGAAAGAATGATGTGTCCCTTGAATTCTTTTCTTCAGAAACCACATTACTTGTTGGGGTCTCTTTTTCTCCATGCTTAGTCCAGTTGTTATAGTTTTGAACGATTCCATGTCTAAATAAGTGAAAGTCTACGGTCTCAACAAGTTGACATATGTGATTTACACATACGATGCATGGACACAGAATTTCTAGTTTTTTTAATGTTTATCAAGGTCAATATTCATCACGATCTTGTAACTTATTGTTGCGTAATCGATAAATTTTGAAACACCATCCCTATATTGATGTGTGTTTCTAGGAGCCTCCATCCACGACTTGTCCATGTTAATGTATGAATTACGTGTAATAGATCTTTAACCAAACATCTATAATAAATTATCAATATTCAGAATGTTACTTACATTGATAATGTTGGATTAGTGTCTAAGCCCGTAACTATATTTGGTATGTACTTGACCCGGTTGTGCATGGTCCTTCTGTGTTGCCTTCACCAAAGCAACTTGACAAGGTAATTTGATATGAGAGAGAGGATATTATGGTTTATTAGTATATTATAAGAATAATATATTAAAGGAGAAATCATATTTATTTAATTAGTATTAGTCATAAATTAATTAGGAATTAATATGGTGACTAAAAGAGATTAATCAAATAAAGGGGTATAAACTGTCAAATGTGTGATAGTTGGATTTTGGGCTAGGAAACCTAATGGACAAGAGGGGGAACGAAAATATGATGAAAGGATCATCATATTTCATCCAAGGCCCTATTCCAGAAGGTTCCTTGGGCTGCTTGGTGGCTAAGCTGTCCATTAGGGTTTAGACTGAAACCCTAGTAGCCTGCAAGTATAAATATGACCCCTAGGCTATGGAAATCGGCTAGACATTATTCCAAGAGAAACCCTAGGCCGATTTCTAGCATCCTCCCTCCTCTCTCTTATTGCCTTCTTGCTACTTGGTGTTTGTGATCCATCAGAGGAATTACAATTGTGATTCTAAGCTCAAGCAAAGAAGATTCAAGCTATTTGAAGAGGTAAACATCTAGATCTGATGTTGTTTGTTATTTTGATAATATGTATGCTAGTTTAGGGTTTGCAAGACTTGGATTCAAAGCATGTACAATAGAGAAACCTAGATCCAAGCATTAGGGTTTGTATGAGCACATAGGATTGTTTCTTATGCATAAAACCCATCAGTGGTATCAGAGCCTTGATTGGTTTCAACTGTATGTGATGCTTAACTGTTTTGCTTGCTGAAAATCGAGTTTTTTTGCCTCTGCCCGACTCAACTCGGCGAGTCAGTATCTGGACTCGGCGAGTTGGCCCCTACTCGGCGAGTTCAGAGCTGACTCGGCGAGTACGAGCGTCAGACAGAGGATATTTCGGGATTTAGTTGCTGTTTTGACTTGGATACAATGCCTAAATCATTTTTTGAAGTTAAAATCCGAATTTTATCTTAATTAAATGATTATCCTTGCCAAAACAATAGATAATTTCAAATCTTTTGAATATTGGTTGTTTATATGATAAATATGGATTATTTAAAATTATTTGGTAATTATCTTATGACTAAATAAAGTTAGATCAAATATAGATAATTATGAAATTGATTGTTTAATTTGAATTATGTGTTATTTGATCCCTTATGTTTTGAAAAATTCAAAACTTGCCCTCAAGTTTTGAAATTTGAATTTTGTGATTAAAAGTTTAATTTGAATGATTTAAATTTCAAACCCTTAGAATTTTACAAGTTTAAAATTCAACCCTATGCTATTATATTATTACAAGATTAATTAATATATATGTATAAGCATAAGCTAGTCTTATCGCTAGTAGGCCTCATTCACGAAGCCAGTCTATAAGGTGGGTATAAGGTTGCTGCCTATAAAATGGCGCTTAATGGGTGTACACTCACACCTACCGCTTGCTTGACTGGTGGAGGGTCGTTAGCCGAACGGATAGGATAAGGCGTTTAATTCCTCATTATAAGTATAATGGAATTATTAAAGTAACTACATTGTTTTATAAATTCCCAATCTTAGTTACTTTAGGGTAAAATGTGAAAATGATGCTATTCCATGGAATTACACTTTGTACCCCTGTCAAACGTTAGTGGAGCGTGCGTGGTTAACCGGCACACTAATTTGGGATTGACATTGGTGACAAAGGGTGGCTCGATGTTTTATCATAGATCAATGGAGCGTGCGTGGATAACCAGCACATTGATTAGGTGGTGAAGACATTGAGTGCACCATGTTGATTCGCATGGTTATTCACAAACTTGTTTGCGATCCTCGGCATCCCAGTCGCAAATTTGAAGTGCATATCGAGATTTAAACATGTCATTGAATTGTTCAATGAATCTCAAAAGAAATCTAGGAATTTTCAAACACATCTAAAACTTAATTTCCTTTCGTTTTTATGGTGAAAATTAGTGAATCGTCATTCACTTACCTTCAAATTATTTACTTTTAGATTACGGCATCCCTTTTCTAAGTTGTAAATAATGTTGTTGGATCCTAGCCCTAATTTCTCATTTGGGTGTTTAATTGGGGATTCATTTCTAATCAAACTTTGTTCCTTTCTATTTCAGATGTCTAACGCAAACGCAAACAACAACACTTCTGGGTCATTCTCGTTGATGAACCTGTGTCAAAAGGTGACATTTGATGGCTCGAACTTCAATGAGTGGATGAGATACATTCGCATGATAACTCGCTACGAGGACAAAGAATATGTCCTCGACGAGAAGCTAGAGAAGATTAACCCAGAAGAAGCTACTCCTGAAGAGCTGGCTGCCTTTGAGGCCCACGAGCGTGATGCAACGAAAGTTCATTGCATCATGTTGGCCACCATGAACCTCGAACTCCAGAAGTCCTATGAGGACATGTATCCATATGAAATGCATCAAGATTTGCTGGACAGGTACCACCAGAGCGCGAGGCAAGAGCGCTATGAGATCATCACCAACATGATCACCGCTAAGATGGGAAGTGGAGAATCCCTAACATCTCATTTGCAAAGAATGCAAAGGTATGTTGATCGTCTTCTCAAACTTAATGTTAAGTTTGATGAGGATTTGGCTATCGACATCATCCTCCACTCCTTGCCTCCTGCTACAACCAAGTCAGGATGACCTACCACATGAACAAGGAAGAGGTCACCCTGAGTAAACTCCAAGGGCTCCTGAGGACAGCTGAGAGCAACCTCAAGGACAAATCTGTTGCATCATCCTCTACTATAGTTGCTCCTGTGTTGGCAATCGGCCAAGGAAAGGGTAAGAAGAGGAAGGCTCCTTCCAAGAGCCACCATAAGGGTAAGACCCAAGATGGTTCCTCTTCTAGTGGGACCAAAGCAGGTTCTGTTAAGCCCTCTTCTGACCCCAAGGAAGCAGAGTGCTTCTACTGCCACCAGAAGGGCCACTGGAAACGAAGTTGCCCCAAGTATCTGCAGGATATCAAGGATGGGAAGATAAAGCCCACCTTCGCAGGTATGTATTTAATTAAATCTATAACTCATCACTTGCTACTTCATGGGTCCTTGATACAGGATGTGGTTACCACATTTGTTCTGATTTGCAGGGGCTAAGAAAAGGTAGGGAAGTGGAGCATGGAAGGATAAGCTTGATCATGGGAAACAAGAAGTCTTCACCAGTAACCAAGATCGGAGTTTATTCCTTAGTGTTGAGTAATGGGTTAGGACTAGATTTAAATAATTGTTGCTATTCGCCAGATATGGCAAGGAACATCATTTCTTTTCATGGATTGTTTAGACAAGGTTTCAGATATTCGTTTGATAATAGTAATGGTTCTATTAATGCTTATTTGAATGGTGTCTTTTATTTCAATGCATTACCTTGTAATGGGATTTATGAATCTGTGTTAGTTATTGATAATTTAGGAAATGATGTTTTGAATATTGATTCGTCCACAAGTTTGGACAAAGCATGCTTGTGGCATTGTCGCCTTGGCCATGTTAACAAGAAACGCATAGCCCAACTCCAAAAGGATGGAGTCTTGGAGTCATTCGACCTAAGGGACGATGACGTGTGTGAGTCTTGTTTACTTGGGAAGATGACCAAGTCACCCTTTACTGGCATATGTGAAAGGGGTGAGGGTGTATTGGATCTCATACATACAGATGTATGTGGACCCTTTAGATCCACCACAAGGGACGCTTGTCGCTTCTACGTGACTTTTACAGACGATTATAGCAGATATGGATATATCTACTTGATTAAGCAAAAGTCAGAAACCTTTGAGAAATTCAAAGAGTTTAAGAATGAAGTGGAAAATCAGCTGGGCAGGAAAATCAAGATGCTTCGATCTGATCGAGGGGGAGAGTACCTAAGTCTTGAGTTTCACGACTATCTAAAAGAGTGTGGAATAGTTTCACAATTGACGCCTCCTAGAACGCCACAATTGAATGGTGTGGCTGAGAGACGTAATCGAACCTTGTTGGACATGGTTCGCTCTATGATGAGTCGTGCTTCGTTACCAATCTCATTCTGGGGGTATGCCTTAGAGACTGCCGCCCATATCCTTAACTTAGTTCCCACCAAGAAGGTTACCAAGACACCTCACGAGATGTGGACAGGGAAAGCTCCCTCGTTAGCACATATCAAGGTTTGGGGTTGTGAAGCTTTCGTAAGACGAGAGACTCACGACAAGCTAGAACCTCGTAGTGAGAAGTGTTATTTCATCGGCTACCCACAGAAGTCTTTTGGCTATCTCTTCTATAGACCAAGTGACAATGTTGTCTTTGTTGCTAGGAGAGGGGTTTTCAGAGAGAGAGAACTCATAAGTCAAAGAGACAGTGGGAGTCAGATTGACCTTGAAGAGCTTCAAGAGTCAGGAGATGAAGGAACCTCTGACACTGGCATGCAACCTGAGGAGGAAACTCCGGTTGAACCAATTGACCAGTCCTTACCTCTTAGACGTTCAAGTAGAGTTATTGTTCCACCCCAGTTTTATGGTTTCCATATTACTACTGACGGGGACACATTTATTAGTGATAGTACACTAGTAAATCTGGACGAACCTAACAGCTACAAGGAAGCCATGGCAGGCCCAGAGTCTGATAAATGGAAAGAGGCAATGGACAGCGAGATTCAGTCCATGTATGACAACCAAGTTTGGAATTTGGTTGATAATGTACCAGGTCGTAAGACGGTCGGGTGCAAGTGGATCTTCAAGAAGAAGACAGACATGGATGGGAAAGTGCACACTTACAAAGCGCGATTGGTCGCAAAGGGCTTTACTCAAACTCCTGGAGTTGACTATGATGAGACCTTTTCGCCAGTTGCCAAAATAAAGTCTATTAGGGTAATGCTCGCAATAGCTGCGTTTCATGATTATGAAATCTGGCAGATGGACGTAAAAACCGCTTTCCTAAATGGGAAGTTAGCTGAGGATGTTTACATGAATCAGCCAGAGGGCTTCGTCGATGCGAAGCATCCAAATAGAGTGTGCAAGCTTGAGAAATCCATTTATGGATTAAAGCAAGCATCTCGCAGATGGAATCTTTGTTTTGACGAGAAAGTCAAAGAGTTTGGTTTTCTGCGAAACGAGGATGAGTCATGTGTGTATGTCAAGGCCAGTGGGAGTATAGTGAGCTTCCTCGTATTGTATGTCGATGACATACTACTCATAGGAAACGACATCCCAACCTTGCAGGAGGTAAAGTCCTGGCTTGGGAAGTGTTTCGCTATGAAGGACCTCGGAGAAGCTGCATATATTCTGGGAATAAGGATAGTGAGAGACAGAAGTAAGAGACTGATAGGACTCAGTCAGGATACATACTTGGAAAAGGTACTAAAACGTTTTAGTATGGAAAATTCCAAGAAAGGGGAGTTACCAATCCAATGCAATACCAAACTGAGTAAGACTCAGAGCCCAAGTACAGAGGCAGAGATAGCAGATATGAGCCGAGTACCTTACGCTTCCGCAGTTGGCTCGATTATGTACGCTATGACCTGTACTCGCCCTGATGTGGCCTTCGCTTTGAGCATGGTCAGCAGATATCAAGGGAACCCTGGTAGAGCACATTGGATTGCTGTCAAGAATATTCTTAAGTACCTACGAAGGACCAAGGAATGGTTTCTAGTCCTCGGTGGGAGTGATGACTTAAGGGTGCGAGGGTACAGTGACGCTAGTTTCCAGACGGATCGGGATAATTACCGATCACAGTCGGGCTGGGTCTTTACCCTGAATGGAGGAGCAGTGACTTGGAAGAGTTCCAAGCAAGAGACCGTAGCTGATTCAACGTGCGAATCGGAGTACATTGCGGCAAGCGAAGCGTCAAAGGAGGCTATATGGTTAAAGAACTTCATAGGAGACCTTGGAGTTGTGCCAACCATAAAGGAGCCCATGGAAATTTTCTGTGATAATGAAGGAGCGGTTGCCTTGACCAAGGAACCAAGGGATCATGGCAGATCTCGACATATCGACAGGAAATATCATTTTATTAGACATCGGGTAGAAGAGGGACTCCTCGTTGTGAAGAGGGTATCGTCAGAAGATAACTCAGCAGATCCCCTTACGAAGGGACTGAGTAGGGTCAAGCATTTGAAGCACGCTAGGAGCATTGGGCTAAAGGACGATATTAGTTTAGATTAGATAGGTAGGAAACTTGTAATAGATAATTTTATATTCAACATTTGATGATTAAATAAAGGTGTTTTATTTATAAGAAAGTTACTATCCTATGTTGATTATTTATCTATTGTTTCAATTTTGCATGTTTTGACTTCCTGAATAATAAGATTATTCGAACAGTCCACAATCGATCATATGTTGGAAGTAGATATGAAAGAAGATTGTCATAAATTAGTTTGTAGATTGTCTAAAAGGTTTTAGACATAGCAAAGGTTTGCTGCAAAGTTTATGAGTGCTTATGAAATATGTTTTGAGCATTGGAATAAACCCGCACTTGCTAGTATCACTTCTTGAATGTTATCATAAGTGATCGCAAGATGATAATATCATATAAT